CAATTACTACTGGCCCAGAATCAATAAAATCTACTACAAAGTAAGTATATCGTTGTTTCTTATTTTCTCTTTAAGATGTTATACTCTATAAGTAACGTCGTTCTTGGTAAGATAGAGGAAGAGGATTGAAGAGGGAGGAGATTGGAAAATAAGTAGAGTAAAGTTATCATCATAAAGTGTGTTGAGAAGAATATGATGTTTACTTTTTTTTTTTCTTTTTTCTTTTTTAATGAAGTAAGGAAAATAGCACAAAACTAGTTTCTTTTTTTCTTTTATATTTATATATATGTATGTATGTATGTATGTATGTATGTATGTATGTATGTATGTATGTATGTATGTATGTATGTATATATATATATGTATGTGAGTGTGTGTATATATATTTCAGGGTAGATATTTTATGTTGAGGGTCAGCGAAAAGAATTCCGAAGAGAGGACCCATGGTTTTAAGACACCATCTAAAGGAGCTTGTCGACATCTATGGAAATGTTGTTTAGAACATCAAGCATTCTTTCGACTAATGGCAACCGGTCCACCACCACTTAGTCCATATTCACGTTTTCGTTCGTACAGTCCACCAAGTGGTACTGAAAAACATGCTACTTCGATAAGAAGAAATCCACCACCTGCCTTTCAAAGGACACCTAGTCGAAGAGCACAAAGACGAGTAGTTGAGGGACAAGAAATGGTTGGTCCATTTGTCGAAGGCCCAACGACAATTGGTCCTAATCCATGTAACAATCAAGTTAATGCTAATGTACTGTGCAATGCTCAAAATACAAGACAAGTTAGTAGTAGCTCAAGTCCAAGGAGTATTAGAAGTGCTCCTTGGACTCAGAGTCAACCTCGTGGGCTTTACACGTCGTCTAGTCCTCGGTCGGTTCGTTCAGCAGGAACTGCACCGGCGGTAAGTTAAGGAAAAAGAAAAGAATAGAAAAAAAAAAAATAATAATAATAATAAAGAAAAATAGAAAATAATCCAATCGTCATACAATTGTCGTCCATAATCAATCGATGTTTTAAATATGCTTTTAACAGGGATAATTGACATTATTTTTTTTTCTATTTTTTCTTTGTAGCTCTTGAGCAGACTCCAACGTAGGAGCAGCTCCGTTGAGAGCCAAAGTTCTGGGGACAGTCATAGTCGTGGTGGTCATCGTAGAAGAAGTCATAGTCATAGCCATCGGAGACATAGTAGACATTCCGATTGCGAATCAGAACTTTCCAGAGGATCGGATACACGATCAGGACATCGAAAACATCGTAGAAAGCATAGAAGTTCACGTTCTTCTAGGTATTTATTAACGTCCCTCCTTCGAATCATATTTTCATAATATATACATATAATGGACAAGATCGAAATTATAATATGTTAATAGAATTTTCTTTGTCGAAGTGAGAATTACGTTGATCTCAAAGGAAAAAAAAAAAAGGAAATAATAGTTGATATATATATATATATCGTATATTCTCACGATAGTGGGATAAATAAAGTGTGTTAGAAGTGGTAATTATTTTAATGATGAAGGACGTGGTGGGAACAAATCCCTTTTAGATTTTCATAGATAAAAGAACTAATGATATAAATATATACAAGTTTCCTTTGAGGAAAAAAAAAAAAAAGAAAAAAGAAAATGGGGAAAGGAAAAAAGAAATGAAAAAAGGAATAATGTACAAAAATATTAACTATCGAATTAAAAAGAAATTAATTATTTCCTTTATTCCCCCCTTAGACACGAGTTGGTAGATTCCGAACCTCAATGGAGGGAAGCGCAAAGGCGTAAAGGTGAAGGCGTACAAAGAGCCATCGTGAGTATATAAATTCAATTTGATTTTATATATATATATATATATGGAAAAAAAAAAATCAACAAATGATTATTATTCCTTCTTCTTTTTTTTTTTTTTTTTTTTTTTACATAGGTAAGCCATACAGAGCCTAGAAGAAGGCATAGAAGTAGACATCGGAGTCCTTCTCAGAAGCAACCATTACCGGATGAGCTTAGAAAGTATGTTACTATCATTTTTTTTTTTTTTTTTTTTTTTTTTACCATAAAAAAGATATCGATATTAAATTAAATTGGATATATATTTATATTAGATTGGAAACTATGAAACGAGCGTTGAATGAAAATAAATAACTAAACAAAAACGCCCGTTTCATAGTTTCCAACCTAATTATATATATATATTCATTTATCGAGCCCGATGTTAAATCTCTATTATATTATACGTTGATCATAATAATGATATTACTCAAGAAAGTTTCTTATCTACAGAGTCGAGTTAGTCTATTCTTTTTTTTTTTCTTTTTTTTTTCTTTACCCTTCTCTTTTTCTTCTTCCTTTGGTTTGTTTCTATTGCAATAAAGATGCACATTTTCCAGACATTTGGAGTTTGGCCTAGTCGATACCACTGGAATGAGCGAACAGCAACGTCGAGAGATTCCTTATACGGTGGTACAATCGCAATCTGTACAGCAATGTCCCCTACAATCTAGCAATTCTCGTTTGGACGATGCAGAAACGTCGTCCCTACCTAGGTACGATGATCTCAAGACGGCCTGCAACCTCCACGGCCATCCTCCACAAACGGAGGATGAAACGGGATCCGTAGTCATTGTTTAGATTACCTTAGATTATTACCCCCAATGCATGGTCTTATACTTTTTCTTTTTTTTTTTTTTTTTTTTTTTTTTTTTCAATTTAATTTAATTTAATTTAATTTTTTTTCTTTATTTTCTTTTTTTTTTTTTTTTTCCTTTTTTGATTTGATTTGATTTGATTCAATTTAATTTAATTTTATTATTAATTTTTAATTTTAATGTTTATTTATTTAGAGAGCATGCGTACATTATTATTCTAATTTAAGCATGCCCGCCCTTTTTATTATTTATTCGAAGCATGACAAATCCATTAATAAATCTGTGAAATTAACAGCTTGTCGCACCTGTGTGTATTTTTATTTCCTAGCTGGCACCCCTTGTGACGCTTATATATCTACCGCATTTCTATTATTGAATAATGGGATTTGTACGGCGTCAAGTTTGTTTTTGTTGTCTCTTATATCAAAAGTTGTGCGGTATATATTCCACGCAACTCATCTGTATGTTGTATGTTGTATGTGTGTGTGTGTTTATTATTTTTTAATTAGAGTTCTTTTTTGTTTGTTTGTTTTTTTTTCCTTTTCTTTTCTTTTGGTTTTGTTTTATTATTGCCTGTTTATATGTGGTGTGTGTGTGTGTGTGTGTATCATTACTATTTGTTCTTGATTGTGTTGTATGTGTGTGTATATATATTTAAATGAAATTAGGCTAAATAATGATTTGGGGATTTTATGATTTCTTACATACAATTAGGTTCTTTTTTTTTTTTTTTTTTAATCCCTGTTTATGGTCTGGCATTGGTATGGAGAATTTTTATTAAAAAAAAAAAAAAAAAAAAAAAAAAAACCGATAAGGCGTAGAAATATTTGCGTATGTGTTGTATTTTTTTTGTTTTGTTTTACAAAATAATATATTAAGGAATGCGTTATCCCATTTGTAGAAAGAGGTGTGTCCTTTATATTGATTTATCAGGATTTATTAAAAGAAAAAAAAAAGAGAGAGAGAAAAAGAAAAAAAAAGAGTATTGCGTCCTAAAAGAATTAGTAAGCCAAAATTTGTCAAGGATTAACTTTCAGAACAATCGGATCGCTCGGGAAAAGAGACAGAAGAGTGATTCAACATATTCGCGATGGAAGTTATAATTTCCCTACAACAAGATCCAGTCAAATTGAGACAAAGTATCCGGACGCTATAAGGAACGATTATAATACAAGGAGGGACTTTTATTATACCCGTAACAACAGAATATTAATAGGCAGTAATGTGGACAGTGGGCTCGGGGAAAGTACACCACAGGAGTTTTCAAGTTGCTGCTCAAGCTCTGCCGACAGCACTAAGCCCACTCGTGTAGTACGTATTTCTCTCTTAAAGCTTGACTTTTTAATTTCTTTTATTTTTCTTTTGTCATTTTGTATTTTTTTTTGTTTTGTTTTTATATATATATATATATATATATATGTACGTACACATAATACACACACACACATACATATATATATATAACAATTTTTGTTTCTTATACCTAATGATTATATATCTTCATCGTTATATGACCCATTGTGTTTTGCAAATAACGTGTGAAAGTTTTGTTAATATCTCTTTCAAATATAATTAATAAGGTATAGGGATAAAGAAGTACGAAAAAAATGTTTCAAGTTTCTTTTGCTTTCTTGCGTAATTTCTAATGCATTATAAAAATGGGCAGCACTCTTTTGCGCTTCACTGTAGATAGTTTCGGGCTTTATCGCTTTTAAAAAGGGTGACACATTTATATATATATTATATTATATATATCCGATAGTATACTAAATTTAATTATAATAAATTAATTAATATATGCACTCTTATGCACATCAGGGAATATTTTAGTTATTACTCACGGTTTCGGTGGTAAAAAAAAAAAAAAAAAAAAAAATAGAAAAAAGAAAAAAAAAAAAGAAAAACACATTTTCTCTAGCTTCGCTACTTATTTTTCATTATAATCATCCCATAATGTTAATACTAATATTACTACGTAGACGTTCAGATATTTCATCTTTATACCTTTTGTAGTAGATATAGTAAAATAGTTTTCTTTGGTATAGACGCAATTGCAATTAGGGGGAGAGGTGCACTACGAACTATCTTCGAATCAAGACATCTACCCTCCTGTTGACACTACTCTGGATGCTGTTCTTCAGCCAATTATATCGTAAGTGCTTGCTTCATGCTTACTCTCTTGTCTGAATTTAGCTTTATTAATAATCTATTGCATTGTGTACTGTGAATGTAATTAAATTAGTTAGTTATCTATTAAAGAAAATAAAAAAGAAAAAAAATATATATGTATATGTATATTTATATGTATGTACGTATATTTGCATATAGTATTTATCTTTCTCATTTTTTTTTCTTTTTTTTTTTTTCCTTCTTTCTTTCTTTCTTTCTTTCTTTCTTTTTCTTTTGCAGAACCTTGACAAGGAGGCAAAGGAGCCACCAGAAATGAGCATGAAGCTTTAATTAAAATTCTCAAGCCGAAGTTTATGCACATATTGTATATTTAAGAAAATTTTTATACCTCATGAAATTAAATATCTTTATAATCGTTAGGTAACAGTCAACTGAATCTTTATAATATATATATATATATATATATATATATATATATGACACATAAAAAGTTCGCTAAACTCATGAATGCACTGTGTGTTTACATATTATTTATATTATTTAAAATGATATTCTTATTATTATTATAATAACCTTCCTCTTTCACTCTTCAACTGTCTTTCGATGCCATATGCCTCATAAGATTTCCTATAAATTTTTCCATTTTCTTCAAATCTTGTGCTATTTCTGTCTTATATTGTAGACACTGAAATCAAGAGAAGCTCTCCGATAGTTTATGAATATTTTAAAAATATAAACTATTTAAATAAATTTATTAAGAGCGATTACTTACTGTACAATTGTCTGTAAGTTTCAGCCATAAAACACCTTTATTATGGCAATATTTCATTGAATATCTGGCCTAAGATAGAGATGAATAATAATGATAATAATAATAATTAATAATAATAATAATAATAATAATAATAATAATAATAATAATAATAATAATAATAATAAATAATAATAATAATAATAATAATAATAATAATAATATACGCTATAATCTGATATTTGAATTATTCTGAAAATATAATTAACTAAAAATCCATTATATACCAATCGATCAAAAACCATGCATGAATATGTATACTTAAACGCAAATCGTGCAATGATTATTGTTAATAATTGAAATGTATCTCTTGTGTCTGAATGTATTCTTCTTGTTATATTAAATCTTACAACAAAACTTTGTTAAGATGAATTTAACGAAAAATTAAATACCTTAAAGCATAATAAGTGGCACAGTAGGTTAAATATTCACAATTATTATGCTAAAATTATCACCGTTAAATCTTCGAATTTTTATTTTCATAAAAAAAAAAAAGAAAAAAATCGCGAAAATAATTTAATATAAAAGTTATAAAAAATAATTTATAGGGAAAAATTTTTATTTTATAGATATTAACATACATACTTTCATTGGATTTTGAAGATATAACCTCTCCGCACCCTTTTCAAATTCCTCCCACGAATTTAAGTATGTCATTGTTATCACAGATATTTAATTATACTTTTTTTTCTATCATTAATCGTACACAAATACTTTTCAATTAGATATATATATATACGTATATTTTCAATGAATATCGTCCGATTAAATTAATGACTCACATAATTTAACGAAACACATTTGAGTACAAACGAAGACTAAATCTTTCGAACATATTCCAAAGAGGAGGTTAACGTAGATGACAACTGGCGCCGCCTAGTGTTTGTCGTAGATCAATAAATTTTCTTGATGAATTACTTTTTCGAATAATAATAAGAGGAATGAAATGAAAAATAATAGAATTCTTTTTTATCAGTAATTAATCTTTTCATTTATATAATTAATTAAAAATTTTGTTGGTGTTTGTTATAAAGAAATGGTGGGGAATTAGAAAATGGCGGGAAAAGATGCGGAAGAGAGATAAGATTGAAACTATATTATTGGCTCACCCCCACCCAAACTATTTCAATAGTGACGATATTTACAATAATGGCGTCTTTTCAATGCATTTATGAATGCACCATAAAAGCGTTAACCAATGAAAAGCCATAAAATCTTGAAGAATTTATTTCTGTATGCACGCTTCCCTACATAATGGTGTTTGACTTTTGAAAGATTGTTTACAAGCAAATCTTAGTGCATAACAATAGTTGATAAATTTTACGATCTATCGTGGCGTTGACGTATGAGGTTTTTTGAAAACTCTTTCAAAATGAATATACCTAAATTTTTTTCTTAATTATAAACTGTGCGCGTTAGTTAAGACAATTTCTCTTTGACCCACTTGTTGCGTTTAGGTTATGGTCGTATAAACAAAAATATGTTGTATATAAATGTCTGGGTTGTGTAATAAATCTGTGAGAATTAGAAGGTAGGAATGGAGGGACCAGGTATAAGCCTATTTCAAGGTTCTGAAAGTTTACAATTAAATACAAGTAAACAAAGATTAGAGGAAGATGAAGAACAAGAGGATCTTAAACGACGCAACGAAGAGGTAGAAACTTATAAAAATAATATAAGCTATTGATTATAATAGTTAATATGATTTATCTTATGATTATAAATGAATTTATAATGTGATCTCATTGGAATTTCAATTTTAAGTCCATATTGTTTTATTTTTAGATTAATGATTTGTTGACAAATGCATTCGATGATTTAGAAAATGATGACGATGAGGACGACGACGACGACGATGACGACGACGACGACAACGATATCAGTTCTGCTAATAGTAGCCATTATCAGCGCAGTGCCAAAGAAAATGAACATACCAATATCACTAAACAGAGATTACCTTTCAAAACTCAAACATCTGCACAATTATGTAATGATTATGGAGCTTATGACCATGTAGATAATTCAGTGAATTATAATCATGATACAATGAAGAATTATAGGACAGAATCTGATATTCCATTAAGTACATTTGATGTTCAAAGAGATGTTAGTTTGTATGGGCAAACACTAACACCGCATAAAAATAAAAAACCTATAGAGGCGCATAATTTAACTATGGAAACTTCCTACGAATTGGCAAGACTTCCAAATTCTAGTTCCTGCCCTAGAGATTTGGAATGTCACGCTGAGGATGGTTATACGTTTAATGAAAATTATCTTTATAATTACGAGACACCAGCTAATCATTATAACAATCATGAAAAACATTATGCAAATAATGGTTATATAGAAAATTATGGTAACAATGTACAATGTAAACAGATCCATGAGTTTGGCGGTGGTGATAATATTACGTCCGAAGAAATGAATCATTGCTTTAAAATAAGTCCAAATGGAAAAATGTTGGATGAAAATACGATATATAAAACTACCGAGTATAGCAGTAAAGAACAACTCGAAGTTTTATATACTATAAGGATGAAAGAAATAAAACGACTGACGGAGGATTTGCAAAAGTTACAACATCAGAAAGAAACTGAAATGGACCAATTTAGTCGAAAGATAGTCTTGTTGCAGGCAGAAGTCGAACGATCCAACATATCCAGGAATCAAGCACAGCATGCTCTCAGTAAGAATTATTATTTGGATTAACCATGGATATTTCCATTGATTATGTTTTATTATTTATTTTTAACATTGTATTCTGCATTTGGTGTGTGCGATGCTTCATTCGTTAAAAAAAAAAAAAAAAAAAAAAATAATGATAAGCATCATGTGTATGTATTTGTATGCATTAAGGAAACAAAATCTGTCATTGCAAGGGAAATTATTAACAAATTTTTTTTTTCATTTTCCAGTTGACGCCAAGGCAGAAATTATAGATCTTCAAGGACAAATGGCATCGTTAAAAGAAAAGAATGCCGTTTTAGAAACGACAAATCAAAATGTAAGAAGAAATATTATTTAACTATCGCATATTAATTATAAATCTTTTAAAGATTATTTAATTTTTTCTTTTTTATTTCAGATGACTGAGGAATTAGCCAGTGCAAAGGATTCTGTTGTCGATCTCCAACAAAAAGTTACTGTCTTGGAACGAGTTCATGCATTGCAAACCAGTGATAAAATTAATGAGAAGTTTTTGAAACAAGCTCAAGAGAAACATGCAGTGGAAATAAAAAATATGCAAACTCAAATAGACGTACTTACGGATAAATTGAATACAAAGGTATGTAATATATTAAATGATATATTTACTTTAATATATTTTAGTCATTTTAAATGAAATAAATTAAAAAGGATGTAAATATTATATATTTTGATATAATATTTGCCACAGCCGCTTAGCGAGGATATCAACAATTATGATCTTTGGGCAAGTTTATTATCATTTATAGTATTTCTGTGTTGTAAAACTATTGCAATTTTTCATTCCTTTTTTTCTTTTCTTTCTTTTTTTTTTTTCTTTTTTTCTTTTTCTTCTTTTTCTTTTTCATTTTATTTCAAAAAAATCCATATGATTTCTCGTTACGAGTGCTTGATGTAAAAAAAAAAAAAAGAAAAAAAAAAAGAATGAAATCATTTGTTTCAAAATCATTGTGAAAAATCTATTACTTATTATTTAAAATAGGAATCATCGTATACAGCTTTGGAACACAAGTTGGCGGATATTAGAAGAGCTCACGAGGCATTAATATTGGAAAAGGGCGATACCACAAATCGTCTTGCTCAAGCATTAGAAAAAAGTCAAGCTCAGTGTCGTAATCTAATGGCTACGAATAATGATCAACAAATATTACAATTACAAGCTCAAATTAAAATATTATCACAAGAAAAAGAAGATATGTTGAAGAATATTCAAGATTTACAGGTAAAATTATAATTGAAATTATAAATAGGATAGTTATTAATAATATTAAATTCATTAATGTTCATAGAATAAATTAGAAATAGCTAAGAATGAAACAGCGCAATATGATACATTGGCGACAACGTTAGACGAGGAATCAGATTCTATAAGACAAATGAAATTAGGAGATTTTCATAATAGATCCAGGTCAAAACCCTCGGATGATATAACAAATAAATTAAGGGGTGAATTACAAAGGTATATAATTGTTAAATTGAAACATTATTAATTGATATTATTTTATTTATAATATTTCTAATAAAAATTTTCTCATACGTCTCTTTATACGTCTCAGATGTTTAGCTGGACAGACTGTTAAGAGAAAAGAAATAACTCGTTTAGAAAATACTTTATCTCAAAAAGAAAAAGAACTTGCTAAAGCAAACGTAATAACTGATTCGTGTAGACAGGAAACAGCTAGGTATGCTAAACGTGTCAGTGAATTAGAACTGGAATTAAAATTACTTCTTACCGATAAAGCATTAAAAGCGGATGCTCAAATACAGAAATTGTCTGGTCATTTGAATGATGTAAAAAAACAATATGAAATATTGAAAGAAGAAAAATCAAATCTAGAACAAAAGTTAGAAGAGGCAGAAGCAATTAATCAAGAAACATTAAAGAAATTACATCAAGAGAGTACGAGTATACAAGAGAAAGAAGTTATTGAAAAATACAATAAAGAATATTTAGAGATACATGCTAAAGCTGTTGAAAGGGTTAGGGAGGAAGCAAAAATGGATATAGTACAATTAACGTAAGTAGAAAAATAAAATTTTATGAAATTATATCACTGAGATTAAATCCAAATCGTATGATAATTTTTTTACAATTTAATTTTTAGTGTACAGTTAGAACAAACACAAAAAGAATTAGATCATGTTAAGGAATTGTATATAGACGTTTGTGGTACAAAGGAACAATTGATTAATGAACATAAAGAAGAAATAAGAACGTTGAAAGAAAAATATGGTAGCTTAGAGGAATATCAAAGAGATATTGAAAAATTAGAATACGAATTGGAAACGCAAAAAAAATTTATCGACAAGTTGAATAAAGAATGTGAAACTTATAAAAATAAAATAATGGAATTGCAAAAAGATTTGTCGTCGGAGAAACGAAAGAAAGAGGAGTACACGAAAAAAATTCATCAAGAAATTGAAAGAGGTAAAAGATTTTTTATTTAAAATTAATAACATTAATCGATATAAAATATATAATGTATATTATGTTAATATAATGATATTCATAACGTATATTTATAATTATAGCAAAAGATGAAGCATTGAAGGAATTAAGAAATGCGGATCCTAATCAACAAATAAGTATATTATTGCCTGATCATTGTTCTGAACATTTACAACGAATCAGTCAAGTAAGTCTATAATTATTTCTCATATAATATGAATATGTATTAATAAAATTATATGTAATTGTATCTATTGTTTAATTAATAGCTTGAAGATGATAATCTTCAATTGGAAGAGAAATGTCAATTGGCAATAGAGGATCATAAAAAATTATCAGAATATCAAACGGAATTGGACGATACAAGATTAAAGATCGCACAGATGGAAATCTCTCAGGAATCATGGAAAAAGAAATATGATAATACTATTATGGAAAGAAATGAACTTCTTACACGTATATCTTCATTGGATTCTCAGTTATCGGTATTGAATAAAAAATTAAAAAGAGATGATTCGGACGAGGTGAAATTAAAAATAACACGTGTACAAATAGAAAATGAGGGTCTAAAGAGCCGTTGTGAAACATTATTGACCGAAAAGAATATCTTTAGAGATAAAATAACGCAATTGGAATTAGAATTGTCCGAGGGGAAAAAGATTGATCAACAAACTATTGAAAATAGAATGAAAA